TCTTTATCCGCTCATCCGCTTGATTCAATTTATTTTTTAACGCAGTTCAGGTAAGCGGCACGTTTATTGTTATCTACACGATCAAAACGGGTTTCGCATTGCTTCTTTTCACTCACTGTTGTTGCCCATCTTCAAGAGGTCGGCTGATGGAGAATTTAAACCGGTACACCGGCTCGAACGGCTGCTGGAGAGTTGCTCGGCAATTGCCTTCTTCGCGGGAGGAGATCAAAGCCTGTTTCCGCTTCTTCCGAAGCGGAATCACGCCAACCTAACACTCCCTCTTAGGCGCTGCTGCCTGCTTGTCCCCCCCCCTCGCTGGGGAGCGATGCGCTGGGCTAGAAACTGCCCAAACTGTCAAAAGCAGCCGTCGCCCACTTCGCACAAAAGTGAAAGTGCGTCAGTCCTCCATCTTGGCTCGACCGGAAGCCCCTAGTGATGACCAGTTTTGATAGTGTTAGTGAAATGTTGCTTTCTAGATTTTGTCGGTTACAGAAAATAGTCATGATACTTAGCATATATATGACATTTCCACGTTACGTATTGCTAATGGGGTTGACAAACACCCGCTTACCTAAGTCCTAGACTACTTTATATTTAACACATGATCACCATACCATGATTGCAGCAGTATGGCAGCAGTGAGTTCCCTGTGGGAATGCAATTCTAAAGTGTCACAGGGGGCCAATTTGGATCTGGATCATGAGGTAGGGGTGTGTGTGTGTGTGGAGTTTCCAGACTTCCTCTATTTTCCATTTTCCCAACCCTGGGAATTATTATTTGCCACACTGGAGGGCCATACCTGCAAATAATGTTTGCACATGCAGCACTGTCCCCTTCTAGAACAAATAAAGTTTCAGTTCTGAAAAATGGCACAAGGGGAAAACTGATGCCCCTCCTGTCTATCTTGTCCCAGTCTGAATCAGGTACCCACAGAGCTTTAGAATTGAGATTCCATGGATAACTTTCACCTGATGTCATGCTGCCCTAGAGAGGACTGACATTACTTCCAGGTCTTTCCTGGAAGTGATGCCACACTGTCAGTCCAACTGACAAATGGGAGAGTTGAATCCCTCACCTGCCACTCCAGCAAGGTATTGGAAATGTATTTACTTCTTACAGGCAGACTTATATGTAGGAGGTATCAAAAGAAAAAATCAAGGGTCTAGTGGCCACAACACACTGGATACCGGCATGCTTGCCAGCTTTCAATTCCCTCTTGAGAGCCAGTTTGGTGTAGTGGTTAAGTGCACAGACTCTAATCTGGAAGAACCGGGTTTGATTCCCCACTCCTCCACTTGCACCTGCTGATGTGACCTTGGGTCAGTCACGAGCTCTGGCACAGCTGTTCCTGAAAGAGCAGTTTGTGTCAGAATTCTCTCAGCCCCACCCACCTCACAGGGTGTCTGTTGTGGGGAGGGGAAGGGAAAGGAGTTTCTAAGCCGCTCTGAGACTCCAAGTGAAGGGCGGGGTATAAATCCAATCTCTTCTTCTTCTTTCAAGTGATACCTGAAGTTCTCATGGAACTGCAACTCCAGACTACAGGGAGTACTTCACAGGAGGAAGTGGCAGCTTTGGAGGGGGAACTCTCTGGTATCACATCCGTGCTGAGCTCTCTTCCCAAACTCTATCTCTTCAAGTGGGCTCACCAGGTCGCCTGCTGTGGAGGGCAACTTCCAGCAATCAATCTTTGTGCCATGCCATCACTTACTAGGGGGAATTGGGGGGGGGGGGAACAGGGTCCCCAAATGCTGCAATATTACTTCCACTGTGTAACTGTGATATCACTGCATTGTGGGACATTCTAGTATTTACCTGAAAGTCTGTGGTTTTTACCACAGAGTTTTGGGTGAATCCTAGAGCATTGTGATATCAGTTATGCAGCCAGAAGTGATATTGCACTGATATGGGCTATCATTTGGGAATGTCCTCCACCCATCTCCCATCACCAACCCCAAATTTCCAGGAATTTTCCAAGCCATTTGGCAACCTAAAGTGCAGAGTGAAATGTAAATTCAGTTTTAATAAAGAATATAAAGATAATTCACTAATGTTGCTAAACTACATGTAAGATTTAATAATAGGCCAACTTAGTGGTCCTGGTCTTTTCAAAACATGAAAGCAGCATAGGGGAACTCTTACGTTTCCTCACCACTGATGCCAACTTGAGACCCCACGTGCCTGGGAATGTTGTTCTAAACATGAAAGTCCCAGCATATTACTGGTTGACAGAACCAGAACTCACACAGTAATATACAGTTAGGCCTTAATTCAGCATTTCTATTACTGGAGTCTCCATTAGTTTGTTTTCTGGGAATGGTAGTGTTTCCTCTCAAGTGGGTCTCTGTCCATAGAGTCTGCAAAAGCTACTATAATCAGAATTCATTATGAAACCACATTTCCGGCCCCTCAGATCTTCAATTAGGGCCTTCATAGGCCTTAAGTTTGCTTCCTCTCCAGCATTCTGTCTCAAGAGTCAGAAATGACAAAATTCAATGACAGTGCTTAGTGAGAAAATCCATCAATTGTCAAGAAAGTGCAGAACTCATTTCTCAGATTGTCAGCCAAATTTGTTACATTTTCATTAGCTCCAAAAGGTTTATTTCAAAAACTCCTGTAAGATCTGTGTGTTAAAGGTATGCAGAAAATCTAATGTATTCCCACTTATAACACTTCCAACTGTTCCTGTCTGCAAACATTGACTTCCTACTATATGCTTCCAAAGCTACAATCATATGGAAGAATGCACCACTGAACAAAATGGGACTCACTTCTGAGTCAACATGCAAATGATCCGTAAAACACATGTGTTTGTTTAACAAAGGCTCTTTAGCCAGCAGTTTAGAAAAGAGATGACTAAGGGGGGAAATGATAGAGGGTTTATAAAATTATGCGTGGGGTGGAGACAGTCGACGAAGATCAATTTTTCTGCCTCTCCCAAAACACTAGAACTCAAAAGCATCAAATGAAGCCGATGGGCGGTAGATTCAGGATGGACGAAAGGAAATACTTCTTTATACAGAGAATGATTAAAATGTGAAATTTGCTGCCACGGGATGTAATGATGGCCACAGTCACAGACAGCTTTAAAAGGGGATCAGACAGATTCATGGAGGATAGGTCTATCAGTGACCACTAGACATGGTGACTGAGGGGAACTTCCATGTTCAGAGGCACATCCCGGAGCCAGGAGGCAACATCAGGGGAATGTCTCGGCCTCCATGTCCTGTTGTTGGCCCTTCAGAGGAACTGATTACCCACTTTGTGAGACAGGATGCTGGACTAGATGGACCACTGCTCTGATCCAGCAGGGCTGTTCTTGTGTTCTAAACTAGAGGTGTCAAACTCATTCGTTACAAGGGTCAGATCTGACTTAACTATGACTTTGCAGGCCAAGCCATGTGTGCCATAAAACATAATGCCAGGCACTAGAGAGAGAAACTTTATAGAGGACAGCAGCTACTAAGCATCGAGTTGGTCTGTCCTCACTTCAAGGCCACGTGGCTGGGGGGGGGGGCAGAGAAAACCCTACATGGGCGGACTGGAAAGCCAGTGATACAGCACTGGGCAAACAATCCTGCACTGTCTTGAGGTGGAGGGGCAAACCCTTTCCCCAGCCCACTCCAGTCACCAATGCTGTGAGCCTGGGCCCCAGGGTAAAACCATGAAGCAACTGGGTGTTACGAGCTCCTTCCTGCCACCAAACCACGATGAAAGGGGACTGGGAAAACAAGCTGAACCCCCCTGCCTGCAGAAGCGGGAAGGAGGCAGCCCAGGTATGAGGCCATGTGCATGGAAGGACTCAGGCCAAGCAAAGCCCAATAAGGTGGAGATGCCCATGCTGCAGTGGCTGCCTCTGACCAAGGCCACCAGGTGATCCTGGGGCAATGCTGGGAGTTCAAGCCAGAGATTGCCAGCACACTGTGCTACCCTCATGTGGCAGTGGCCATCCCAGGCCAAAGGTCACTGGATCATATAATGGGGGAGTGGGCACTGCACACACAAGGCTGCACACATGGCAGAGGCCCCAGGCCACCCTACAACCAGTATTAACAAAGAACGCTGGCATCACCTCCACCCCCTGTGAGGCGGCAGCTGCTTATGGCTGAAGGCTGCTGGTGATTCATGGGGGATGGAGGCCTGGCCACCAAGTTGCATGCTTGGTGGTAGGACTAGGCCCCCAATATGTGGAAGAAACTGCCAAAGAATGCCCCTTCAATGGGACAAAGTGCAGCCGCTGCATGCGGGGACGTGAATATGACAACACCACTGGCTGCCAGCAGGCCCCAGTAGACGATCATCTGAACTTCCATGTGCAAATTCTGACCCCTGTGGCGATCTGGGACAGCATCCCCAGAGCTGCAGGCCAAGCAGAGAGGCGTGCGACCTCGCCTTGGAACCTCGAGCCAACATGAACACACCTGCGGTGGCTCAAAGCATACTAGTGAGGTTGCCAATGAAGTGAAGGGGTTCTGCTTGACTGCTGTAGACAAGGCTGCTGGGCTGGGCTGAAGCCATGATTGGAGTGACTCTGCCCACTCACATCCCCCAGCAGCCTCCTGCTCCCGCCCTTGCACCAGTTGCTCATGGACAGGATAAGAGCCCTGGATGGGCCTGTTCTGGCCCCTGGGCCTTATGTTCTAAACCTTCTCAAAGATCTCCAAAAGGCTGATGAGGTAGGACTTCCCTTTGCAGAAGCCAAGCTGATTTCCCCCCAGCTGGATATGTTCCTCTGTGCACTGAACAATTCCATAACTATTCAGAGAAATTAGACTCAAAAATAACTTTGCTTTAATTTATGAGATGTGGAAACCAACAGGAAATCTGTTATTACTTATTACTACAGTTCCTTCATCTCAAATACTGGAACAACAGATTTATACAAAACTAACATTGTCCAATGTAAAATCAAGCAATATGACTGAAAGATACAACCTGTATAATTAAACATAAATATAGATTAGCAATTTCAAAATTAAAACAAGAAAATATTCACAATTCAATTTTTAAATACAATAGGATGGATCCAAACTTGTATCAACAGAAGGTAATTGCTTGTGGATGTTTCCCACATTCCCCTTCCCCCAATGGCCTCCAATGAGCCAACTTTACTGTACCCACACAAGACTGGGGTGGGGGTGGGGGGATCTGCCTGATTTCCAGCTCAGAGGATATGGGGCTGCTGGGAGAAGGCAGGAAAGATGTAATTGTATGAGATCCTTCTGCTTGTACATGTTTGGATTCAACCCAATGCATACAGCACTGCGCAACTCATTTTGCTTCATTTTCCTGTATTGCACACAAAAGAGAGAAATAACATCATTGAAGGAACTTATCTGACACCACATTTTGCATCTGAAACTGTTTTTTTTTTAAAAGAAATAGCTCTGAACTTTTTTAAAAATCCAGCAACCTGACAAGAAGAAGCTGAAGGAACAGGAGGTACTGGTGTAATGGTTATATCCTTTTAATTTGGTCAAACATTATGAATTATTTTAAATATCTTTAGATACTAGTAGATGTCCTATTCCCAAGTATGAATCACAGTCATGTGAGATCCACTCCTGGAAAGAACAGCAACTTTTGAGTCCAGTAATACCTTATTTATTTAATTTTTTAATTTAACTTTCGATTTATAGACTGCTCAACCCCCGAAGGGCTCTGAGCGGTTTACATAGTACAATTTAATTACATTACCTCACTATGGCCACACATTGAGGGGAAATGACTACCTATCAGGCACCTGTGGCAGGGTCTTGGTTGTTGTTTCTGCGGAGGTTTAGTTCTGGGTGATGACATCTCAGCGCAGATCTTCTTCGACCGCAGCGACTCCTTCCGGGGATGGTCCCTCAGTGCACGACAGTGCGCGCTGCCACAGCTGGCCTCTGTCCTGATTGGCTCTGGCCTACCACGTCGCCGCCGCCATGTTTCATCAGCTGCTGTCGCCACCACTCCGCCACCACCACTCCACCACACCGAAGGGGAGGAGGGTGCCTTCCCCCGCTCTAGGAGCAGGTACCCATTCATCTACTCACTTGTACGGGCTTTCGAACCGACCAATAAGAATTCCAGGGTACAAGCTTTTGAGAGTGGAAGCTCCTTTCATCAGAGACCTTCTTCCAACAAAGGGAGCCTCCTTGACTCTTAAAAGCTTATACTCTGGAAATCTTGTTGGCCCCTAAGGTGCTACTGAACTTGAATCTGCTTTTCTACTGCAGACCAACAGAGCTGCCCACCTGAAACAATCCTGGAAAGAATGGGGACCTTTTTATTTTAAATCAAAGAACACATGTTGATAGAAGGCATGGTTTTAGTCAAGCCAGTTGGGAGAGGTCCCCATTGCTGGCTTACTTTCAAAACATTAAAAGTAAATTTTCATTTCTAAGAAACTGAATCACAGAAAATTCATGAGCAACAAAGCTTTTCAGTTCCTTTTCCTTGTATTACAGATGCACAGGGATCAAGTCTCCTAGTTACGGACTTTATGATCAGGAAACTGTAATAACAGAAAACAAGTGGAATTGTATCAATATTTTTCTTTCATGACTTGAATTATCACAGAAATGACACATTCGGTATACAAAACACATTTATACACCAGGTTAAGCTTTTAAATGCCTGACTGCCTTCTTCAGCTACATCAAAACAACAACAGTAATCAGCTAAAATCACACAGGAGACAGCAGCCAAATGCTTATTGTTTACTATGTTTTAAGGTAATTTTGGCTACTTTGCAAAGAAAAGGAATTATTATAAAAATTATACACATTTTTGTTTAGGTGCTTATTCTAAGTTCTCCTTATGGTTATTACTCACATCAGTTACTTTGTGAAAAACTCTTAAGTAGAATGTATAATGCATGAGGAATAAACCTCCCTCCTTCCCTCCGGTAGGCATTGTCAGTAGAAAAGCTGAGCAGTGAAAAGTTATAGGTGGAGGAAGAATAATTTGCACTGTGCCCCAACATCAGGAGACAAAGTCCATAAATAATGAATGAGCCGAGAAGAGAAAAGCATAATTTGGGGAAAGCAAGGGTGATAGTTTGGGCAGTGGAGTGGAAACTGGCTACGCCTGGATGTGTTGGCAGAGTTTACCTCAGAAGGGAGTGAAGGGAACACTGGCATGAAGGAGGGAAAAGTGAGTATGTCTATGCGTGAGTGTGCTGTTGAAACAGACTGTGTGCATACATGGACTGTGCATTAATGTACACTAAGAAATGTGTGCACCCTGCAAAGTCGTGTCTGTGGCCTAGAGAAGTCTAAAGCTAGGTTTCTTGTTACTCATGAGAATGTCAAATATTCTACAATATTAAAGAAACGTATTTTGGTTCTGCCTATCAGCTGCATATGGCAGGAGAAATCTGTATGCATGTGAAAAATTATATGCATGTCAGATGAGCCAAATCTGTCTGATATGGAGGAGATTATTTGATTCATTTTGGATCTAAGCTCCTGCAAGTAAACTAAATAAAAGCAAATGGATTTCACAAAGCTCCCAAAGCTACTTTATTTTGTTATGTTATCTGATCAACTAAGCTTCTCAGAGGTTTCAGGACTCACTGAAAATATTTTTTTATTTATTTAAAACATTTATTAGCTGTATATCTCCCTTGAGGAATTCAAGGCAGTTTACAGTATAACTAAAACATTAAAAAACCCCAGTAAAAACAACAATTATAACTCGCATAAAAGTCACAGTTTAAAAAGACCAAACAGGACTGCCAAAAATAAAAGCTAAATCAAAAGGTAGTCCTAAAGAAAACTGTCTTCAGCTAAAGACTGACAGTGATGGGGCCAAGAGTATCTCCCCGGGGAGGTTGTTCCATAATTGTGGTTCTGCCACAGAAAAACCCCTTTCTCGTGTACCCACCCAAATGGGCATTTTTAATTTGGTGGGACAGTCAGAAGAGCATTTCCCCATGATCTTAATTCCTGCGCAGGAATGCATGGGAGAAGACAATCCAGATACCCCGGTCTCAAGCCATATAGGGCTTTAATGGACAAAACCGGCACCCTGAATTGGGCTCGGGAGCAGACTGGTAGTCAGTGTAATTGATGTACTGTTGGGGATATATGGTCTTGATAGCTGGCCCCAACCAGCAGTCTAGCTGCAGCATTCTGTACTAGCTGCAGCTTCTGAACACTCTTCAAGGGTAGCCCCAAACAGAGTGCACTGCAATAGTTCAGTCCAGCTGTAACTGAGGCATGGATCACTCTGGCTAGATCTGACTGACCTTGGAACTGATGCAGTTGATGCACCAGCCAGAGCTGGGCAGAACTGTTGTCAAGAAGCACTCCCAAACTGTGAACCTGGCTTTTCAAGAGGAGTATAACCCCATCCAAGACAGGGGAGATCTGAAGTCCCTGGTCTACCTTTCTACCAACCCAGAAATACAATTAATGCCTGAAGCAATAAGGGATCTAAAAAGGGAAAGAAAAACAAAATGTCCATACTTGTAGCCTCTAAACTATGGAGTGACTTACTGCTGCTTTCAGAGCTTGGTCCAGATCTTCCAGTAAATCTTCGCAGTCTTCTAAGCCGATAGACATGCGAATTAACGTATCGGAGATTCCGAGGGCTTCCCGTTCTTCCTTGGGAACGGAGGCATGAGTCATGATGGCACTGAACAAGAACAGACAATTCCCGTTTTCAGATTAATAAATAAAAGGCTAGATACAGACCAAGCAATTGCCAATAGCATAACAGTTTAAAAAGGACAGTGTACTGCAAAGAGTGATATGAACACATGCATTGCATTGTTAACTCACTGGTCTGGTCCTAGTTAAGCACGGGGTAGTCTTTTGTGTGACGTCAGGCTATTGCCTAAAACCCACAGGTCACAGACTCCAGGGGTTTGGAATTGCTATGTCAATATAAGCCGGCAAGCAGCTGACTCTATAAATCTTGGCACTGGCAACACCACACACAGAATCTGCTGATGAAAAGCCACAGCAGAGGCTGAAGACTGGCATCATAAAAAACAGAGCTCACATCAGATACTTCACAACCAAGACCAGGTTTACAACTGAAAGTCTAGACAGGCTTGCCAGTAAAAACCAGCACAGCCATTAGCACTCGCTTTAGGCAAGCTGGGTGCTTTTCAACAATTTTTGTAAGTGAGACATTTGTTAAACTGTTTGTCATTATTTTTTTTAATCATTTTTTTAAGTGCAAGGCTCCTCTAGGAATCTGTGTGGAAAGGCAGAAAAAGCTTCTTTGCGATACCATGGGGCTGGCTAGCTAAATGGAGTAATAAAAACTACATCTCCTTTAAACTTGCAGAAATGTCTTTTTCACAGCTTAACCTGGGCCAAAAAGCTTCCATTTTGACAGCAGTGAAGGTGCCTTTGGGATCCTCCCACTGCCCTTCACTGTGTGACACCACCCTTCCTTATTTTTGGGAAATGACCGGTGCATCTTTGTGCTAGTCCTCCTGTCTTTCTTAAGGGCCCAAAGGGGAGAAGGCAAAACCTTTCAAAGCTCCATGATCTGGTATCATAGTGGCCTTCACCATGTGCTAGAGGCACCCTTAAACATCTGTGGACTTCCTAAAAAATTCAGTGGCCCAAGCTAAGGATTTTGGATCTTACCTCATCCCGATTTCCACTGTGGCTGGGCACACTGCGTTGCTTTAGTCACAGTGGCACGAGGCTCTATTTGTTGCAAACATATATTCAAAGCATTGGGTTATGATTAACGACTTTTAGGTGTTACATTTGGGGGTATCCAATCATATGTGCTAGAAGCACATGCTACCATGGTTGCCTTTTCATCTGAATTTGGCACCACATGTATTTTCAGGATCAGTACATGAGAGCATGAACCCTGATAAATCAGGGTTCAGTGCAACATGTACTGAAGTAGAAAATACTTGCAATGCTAATTTCAGAAGTAATGGTGACTGCACATATTGGGAGGATCAAAAGCAGCACGTGCTCTTGGTATGTTTGAATATAAGGTCTGAAAAGGTCTAATGAAGGCACTGAACCAATGTTAATGCAATTATGAATGGATAAAATTAAGGACATTTTTCATTGAATACAATGACAGTGAGAATGATTTGGGGTGTGGAATCCCTCTTCAAAAGGGTGCTAAATATATTTCAGCTTCTATGGTTTACCATCCCATTTGATGACAGAATGACAATTTGTAAGTATTCTGTTCAGTTTGACCCACAAAGCAGGCAGATGTGGTAAACTACTCAAAGCACACAGGGAAAGCAAGACGATCCTAACTGCCCCACATATATTTCTGGCAACAATTCTTTCTTTCTTTTTTTTGGTATTTTTTGGGTGTGTGTATGTGTGTGTGCGCGTGTACATGCCTAGAAGTCATGGCTGACTTCTGGGGACCCCTAGTGGGATTTCAATGTTCAGAGAGGTGGCTTGCCATTGCCTGCCCCTGTGTCCTGGCCTGGGTATTCCATGGAGGTCTCCCATCCAAGTACTTGCCAGGGTTGGCCCTGCTTAGCGTCTTGAGATCTGACGAGATCAGGCTTGTCTGGGCTATCCAGGTCAGGGCACAACAAGACCTTTCTGAGGCAGATGGTCTCTCAAATCAGCTTCAAGTCAGAATAATTTAAAAGTTAACTAGTATTTACTTGGCACTTTCCATCTCTGCAGTACCTTGGTATAAATATCAATATATCCAATTCTCAATGTGACTAAATCTGTAGATACTTAAATCCAGAGAATGCAGCCATGAACAGACAAGATCGGTCTTTCTTCAAAACTGAAAATTGCTCCACGTTTGCAGAAAAATCTAAAAAACCCAACAAACCCCAGCCCCTGCCAAATATAATAGAAGCAGCACATGTATCTTTAAGAAACAAATGCTCTCTGCAGGGGCCATTGTGGGAGTTGTGGCATCCACAATAGTACTGCCAGCCTTCAGCTCTCAGTAAAAGGGAAGGGGAAGGCCCCTTTTCAGGGCTGTTTTACCATTTGAGGGGGACTCATCAGGGCCTGGCAGCAACCACCAGGCGACTTACTACCACCTGAGTTGCACGACTCACCCAGCCCTGGCTGCTCACTACTGTTCAACAGCAACCCAAGGAAACCAGTGTGGTGCAGGCCCATAGCTACAGTGGGGCATCTCAGGGCTAGGCCCCCGACTCCCCAGCCAGCCCAGGGCTCCCCAAGTGGTGGTGGATGCAGGGAAGGAGCCGTGTGTTCCTTTAATCTGATTAGCCAGTGCCCCCTAAGAAATTTAAATGCCCCTCGACTAAAAAAATGCCCCTCGACTGGCTACGGGCCTGGTGTGGTGTAGTGGTTACAGTTTTAGACAAGGATCTGGGAGGCCCAGATTTGAATCATTACTCTGATGTGGAAACTCACTGGGGTGACCTTGGGTTATGTACACATTCTCAGCCTAAAATGGAGGAGAATGATATGTTGCTTTGGGTCCCCACTGGGGAGAGAGGTGGAATAAAGTAAATACTAAATAAATATAGCTGCAGATGGGGGGGCAGGTAGGTTGGTAGGTGTGAAGAAGAGAAGGGGGACAGGGACTGCAAGGAGGAGGATAGGGGGGAATAGTGTGGGGGGATACAGAGGAAAGTGAGGTGCCCCCACAAGTCCTTTTGGGTTACCCACAGTGCAACTGGTCCTGGTCCAATGGCAGCCATTGTACAACTAGGCCATAGTTTTCCTGTGTGGAGGCTGCCTAGGGGAGGGAAGGAGGGAAAGCTGAAGGTGTGGGGGTGGAGATAAAGGTAGATGGTCTGATGGGTGGGAAGAAGAGAAGGAAGCAGGAAAAGGGTAGAGATTATGGGTAGTGTTCCCTCTAAGCTGAGTTAGTGTGAGCTAGCTCACAGTTTTTTAGCCTCTGGCTCACACATTTTTGTCTTAGCTCAGGAAGGATGGCTCCAGAGCAAGGTAATTTATGCAGTAGCCAAACTGCTCGCTCACAACTTTAATGCCAGTAGCTCACAAAGTAGAATTTTTGCTCAGGAGACTCCACAGCTTAGAGGGAGCATTGGTTATGAAGGCTTTGAGGGAAGGTAAAGAGGAAATAGTGAGGAAGGGGGAAATGAGATGCCTCCTGCAAGTTTTTGCAGTTCCCTGCTCTTATTCTCTTAATTACTGTGGTTAATGGGTACGGCTGAGTTTCCTGTGCCAAGTATGCCCTCCTGTGTGCAAAGTTTAAACAGCAGTCATTTTGTCTTTCTATGGCTAGACTGAAATGAGCTTGTGGAAAACCTCACTTTATTGACCTTCCTTCACTTGGCTTTTTCTCACGAAAAAGGGAAACTATATTATGGTGGCTAAAGGATTGTGGATATGAACGGTCTTCTGAAATTGCTTCTATTTTATTTTACAAAATTTATACCCTGCCTTTCTGCCCTCGTCAGGACCATGAAGATGGCTCGACATGATGCCACTGAATTACAGCTATTCTCTATTATATATTTTATCAAATCTTACGGCATAATCAAGAGCATCTTTCTGTATGCATGTATGTGCCAAGTTATGGTTTTCAAGGCAAGCCATAAGCAGAGGTGGTCTGCCACTCCCTTCCTCTGCAGACCCTTCCTTCCATCCAAGCACTGGCCCCGCTTAGCTTCTGAGATCAGGCTATACAATACCATTCTGCATCACCATCTTTTTGTAGGACAAAGTAATTTTTGTGTTCCACCACCGAGGACACAATGTACAATAATGGGCTGAATCCACAAATTAGACTGTAACCCACTAGGCAAACTCTGACTTAGATATTGTGATAAATGTGTCTTATATCCACTAGTCTATACTTGCGTGTTTAAACATCCCCCCCACCGCCACACGAGACACGATCTCATTCCCTCACAGCTTAGAGGGTGCATTGCCCCCCCCCCCGATTAATCCCAGCAGAGACTGCAGATGATGCTTCACTCACGGATGCTCTGCCAGGCTTTCATATCCTCCCAGACTTTCAGCCAGTGCAAAAAGCTAGAGAAAGAAATGCAAAATATTATGTTGGAACAAATATTAACCTTTACAAAAATGTACAGCTCAATTGCTGGGAAAGATTGAAGGTCAAAGAAGACGGGGACGCCAAAGGATGAGATGGTTAGACAGTGTCATAGATGCAACGAACATGAAATTGAGCAAACTTCAGAGGACAGCGGAAGACAGGAGGGCCTGGCAGGATCTGGTCCATGGGGTCGCGAAGAGTCGGACTCGACTGTGCGACTGAACAACAACAACAACAGCTCAATTAAGAATTAGGTGCACCTGAGAAGCACAGGAGTAACTATTTGGAGAGAATAAATACTATGGATGCATAAACATAACAAAGCTGCCATTTTTTTAAAAAACCACCTGAAACAAAGCCCCTGTTTGCTTGCAGTTTCGGAACACCTTTTGTATATCTTGGCTCAACTGATGAATCACCCCACACCTCCTTTTAGAGACGGTAGGGTAATACTGCTGAAATAAGGAAGGCCAGGCATATAATTCTAAAGGATAATTTGTTCAAATCTGAAACCAATTAGACAGTAAAGAATGCATCTTGAACATTTATGATTGTATATACTTCTCACCTGGCTATAGAAAACTTAGTATTTTACATGGCAGGAAAATGCTTGGCAAAACTCAGCTTCTCTCACAGAGAACTGTGAGAACTGCACTCGCCAGGGCTGCACAGAGAGCTAAAGTATGTTACTTGTTTTTTATGTTTTCACATGTTCCTTGCAGCCCCAAAGCAGCTGCAGGGAACTGCTTATTAAAAGGGGGGGGCAGAGCCCAGACAGGCTCAGAACATCACTGTGGGGGGAGGAAGGGCTCCTTCCCACCCAAGCAGTTTTCTCATGCAAAAACTGCACCAGGGCAGAGGGGAAGGGAGTTATTTCGCCAATTTTGCTCCACTAGGGGTGAGTACCTGTGGAGCAACAAAATGAGCAAAATAACTGCCCCTCCCCCAGAGTAAGGTTTTCATGCAAGAAAACTGCTTGAGGGGAGCAGAAGCCAACCCACCCTCCTTAAAAGCAGTTACCCACAGCTACTGTGCAGCTGCTGAGAGAACATGTGAAAATACATGAAAAAGGTAACATGTAGTTTGGCTTAGAGATAACACACTACTAGATGAAGAGACTGGGGTGGCAGAAAAGATGGTCTTCTTAGCAGCCTTGCTCTATGAAACTTGCTCCAGCTGCACCAATCAGTTGCCTAATAGTGACTGGCAAACACAGGTGCTTGCTCTGTGCAAGGGCCACAAGCCACTTGCTTAGCTCCATATGACAGGATGCTGCAACATCTGTGGCACGAAAGCTCTCCTCTTTTCTGCTTGTACCTGATGAAAGGAGCTTTGACTCTTGAAAGCTTATGCCCTGAAAAATTTATTGGTTTCTAAGGTGCTACTGGACTCAGATGTCTCTCTTCTGCTGTAATTTCACAGGCAAGAATTCCAGCATTTGTGAGTCAAGAGTTCACTTCATCAGATGCATGAAGTGTTCAACCATTAAGCTGATGACTTTTCTGCTGATGACTGCAGAAAGCAGGGCAGACAGAGAATGTTACAAAGAGTGGCTAGTCTAAAACAACAGGCAATCAAAAGAGTAGTAGATAAGGAATTACTTGTCTTTTATTAGCCAGGAGTAGAGAGAGTTGGGATGAGATCTGGATTTTATGATTAGGATATGATTACCTGCTAGGGGTTCTTGGGATGGGCTGTGCTATAAGGCAAAGAATATCGTTTCCCCTGTCCTCTTAGGCGTTTCTTGATTATACAATTTTATTAGCCATTATTCTTGAAGACAAAGGGGAGCTCTTTGCTCAGTTTTTGATAATTTGGTTCTAATGTGTTTAAAGAGTTTGCTGAAACAGGTGCCAATCTGTCCAATGCCAGCAGGCAAAACACCTAATAATACGTTGCTGATAGTTAAGAAAAAGGAAGCTCATACAAATTGCACAACTGTATTTAAAGCAGTGCCTTTCCAGTGATGAGTGAGGATGCAACTGTGATTTGTTGGAGTCTTTTGAAGTCAAAACATTTATTTAAGCCATTTTAAAACAATGAGTTGGTGTTACATCAGCTAAACCGCCATTGCTTTCAAAATGCCATTTATAATTGCAGAGCAAAATTGGAGAGTTGTTGGCACTAGAAAGAATCATCTAGCTCAAAGGAATTAGGCAAGCACCAGTCACCTGAATGAACATTTCCCATTAATTGTGAGACACTCTTTTCCTTCCCTCTCATTAGTGCACTTCCCATAATTATATCAGTTATTTACATGTTGTTGCGAACCATTACTACATTAGTGCCATAATGCATAGGCAGCTCCTTCCCCAATAGATTAGTCACTTCTTTAGTTTCTACATCCTAATCAGGCTGCTATTCAACGTTTTGCTTTCAAAGGCAATGGATATTCCAAAGTTTTACCTTTAAACTTTTGAGAAATGTGGTGGCACGTTCAAGGTTTCCTTTAATGTAGAAGGAAATCATCCCTGGGCAGCCTGTGCTCTGACGCTTTATCAGCTCATATTGCGGGTGGGAGGTCAATCCTAAAATGAGTTAAGTATTAAACAAACCACCTGATCTTGAACACTATGAGAAGAAACAGTTTATTAAATATGGATTACGTAACCGAAGATATGGGGAAGGAAGGCAGCATGGTATAGCCCAATCGCATCAGATCTCAGAAGCTAAGCAGGGTCAGTACTTGGAAAGGAGACCACCAAGAAAGACTATGCAGAGGAAGGCAATGGCAAAACATCTCACTTGCCTTGAAATCTCCTTGCTGGGGTCACCATAAATTGGCTGTGACTTAACAGCACTTTAAACACACACACAACCAATAAGTGGATGTCCAGCAGGCCTTAGGAGGAATGCCTTAATAATGCTGAGACCTAAACAGTACATGTTCCAAAATAATTTGCTAGCAATCAGAGAAAGGATCATTCTAACTGCAATCGTTATATTATGTTGTCATGACATTTCAGAAGGCTCTGCCTGGAATGAGAGTGCACACTGGAAAGGAAGTAAAGCAATGGAGACATTAATGGGGAAAGACTGTGGTGGTAAAATGCTGAGAACTGACTATAAGATGGAAGGATACGGAAGAAGCCAGTTGCCAGCATCTTTTGCTTGCAGCCTAACTTGGTCATTTCAGCCTCCAGAATGACTGACACATTTGCTGACTCATTCTACTTACTTGGATCTCTCCAGGTTGTGGTGGCCAAGAACTGCATGATTACAGCCAATGGTATTGCTTTTCCAGGAATGCAACTGCCAAGTTCTGCAAAATCAACTTACCAGGGAAAATGACCTTTTCCACTCTCGGATCTGACTCAAGGTATCGAGCAATCATCAAAGCATTGTGGAAATGTTGTTTCATGCGGATTGACAGTGTCTTTAAGCCCCGATTGCAAAGGTAGGCATCAAAAGGAGATGGAACTGCTCCAAGGGCTGCGTAAGAAACAAGAGAAATCACCTTATGGGTCTACTTTGAACAAGCAAGATGCAATGAGACAGTTCTAAATGCATGTCAAGTACATATTCTCAGGTTCAGAATATCAAACTTTAGAAGAGTTTTACTCCAAAAGATAAACTATAAAACCCTGATAGCACTGTAGATGTACACTGTAGCACTGTAGATGCTTGAATTAGGCTTGAATTAGGCCCTCTAAATCTGGAGGTCTGGACCAAAGATGGACTGTTGAAGTGTGAACCTCAGTGCCTTCTTTAGGTACAGGGGTGGGAATCCGGATGCCCAGCAGGTCTCACTTCTGACTGGCAGTAACTGCTTTATGATGAAACACTGATTCAGATTAAATATTAAGAAAAAATACTGCCTATAGCAGTAGTGGAACTCTTTCACTGGAGGCTTTTGAAAAGCTAGATAAACTTCAGAAATAAACTCTACACAAAAATGCAAAAGAGCAGATTTCAGAAACCTGCACACATAACACACTTTTCAGCATGCTTCAGCCCATTTGCTGCTTTCCATGTCTGATCTATACTCACCATATTGTAAGAATTTGAGCCTTTCATACAGATCACTGTCGTTTACTGACACTAGTCCCATTACAACATCACTGTGCCCTGAAGACACAAGGGAAAGGAAACAATATAAATTTGCTTTTTACTTAAGGAGAACACAAAAGTGCATTTTGTTATAGCTCCCCCCCGCCCTCCGCCCTACACATATGTGATCTTAACCAGGACAAAGATTTCTTCTGAGCAATGCCATCTTCTTTTAACTGCTTACACTGAATTCATAGTCAGGGTGAGAACCGGTCTGTGGCGCGTCGCCATCAGACATCTCCTGGGGAGCTCCAAAGGAGATAACTGAATCTACAGGTCTTAAGTTGTGGATCCAGGGTGCCTGGTTCACAATGAGCCTTACCGTAGGGGGGCTCATCGCAGGGGACTTGTTTTAGGAACTTGCACACATGGCGGTGCACAAGAAGATCTCCTACCCCCCTAAAGCAAAGACCCAAGGGAGATCGCTCTTTGGCAGCCACTGAGCAACAAGACGTGACTGGCCAAATTTAAAGAGAGTGAACCCTATCCTCAAAATCGACAGACGTCTACCGTGAGTACTCATTAATGTAACACTGAAGAATTTAATGACTGTTTGGAAATGCCCCTTTAAACTTAAAAGGGGAAGGGAAAGAAGGGTGGAATTTCCCCCCCTCTTCCCATAGAGCGGCTACTACGAGTCAACAAAAGCAACAAAGAATCGCTGCATTAAAACTTGGGGCAATAAGAGAACGTTGTTTGAGCGTCTAATACCATTTTGCTTTGGATATAAACTTAAACAAGTAAACTCTTGCCACTTACTGGATTTATACACAGATTTGTTAAAGGAAAAAAAGACTTAACAGTTTCCCATAACATCAGCTTTCTTGTTGGAGTTTGGAAATCCACTCTGCGCAGACTCCACTGTAACAGTAAAGCAGCTGCCTTTTGTTGAATGATTCCGGGACGGTAAACATGCTTGCTTATGGTTACAATTCAGAAATATTGAAAGTTAACTCTGGAGATTGGTGGTTTACCGGACTGAGCTGGCGTCTGCTATTACATTAAAATGAGCGTACAAGCCATGGAAGAGAGTCTTACAGCCATTAACTTAGCCCAAATGTCATTGGAGGAATTTAAATTTTAATTTTTGACTTGGTTGTCGCGGTGGTCCAGGAGGCTTGTGAAGTGATACTTAATAAAATAAAAGTGAAAATGAGCCTCCACAAATGAAAACTGAAACAAAAGAACTGCAGCCTTCAACCCTTCAAGATACTGATCAAAATCCTGGGCAAGAGAATTTATTCCATGGAATGACCTTTACATCAAAAGAAGAAGAAAAACTTTGTGCAGAGAGCACCAACAAGGTCATTAAAAGGCAAATAATGAGAGAAACCATCAAAGAGGAGAAGGAAAAAATACCACAAAAAGAAGACAGAATATATGGAATCTCCAACTTACTCAAGAATTGGACACAGATGGAACCTGCTACAAAAATGCCTGTTCACTTACAAAAATAAAAGACATAGATTTACAGCATTTATGAAAAGAAAATTTCAGAAGAGGAAAAAAGAGACTTAAATCTTTATAAATAAACCTGGAAAGGGAACTATCTTATGTGGACTTTGACCCAAGCCAACTAATATGGATGATGTTTTTGATATTAAAGTAAATCTATACAGGTTAAGTTTAAAAATTATATAAGTAAATTTCTTAGAAACTAGATGGTATAAATATACTTGTGCATTTTTTATGTTTTAAGACATTTATGAGATTAAATTTTAATGGAAACTAAATGGTTTAAAAAGTAAAGAAGATTAGGTTAGAAAGTAGCTTTGTTATGATAACTGACTAAGACTGATATTTGCTTATTAAATAGTAACTATATTTAGGAGAAGATGTGAAATAGAATGTTATCATAATTGGAACTATATTTTTATGTTTATATGTGCTATTATTAAATGTAGTATATAAAAATAGGGGAAAGGGTAGCAACAACCCTGTATGATTTTTATGAATTTGTTTGTATATCCACAGCTGGAAATATATATTAAAAGAATTACATAATTTTAAAGAAGTATAAATATACTCTGTAAAGGGTGAATGAGATGGTAATTGATTAAACTTGGGTTTATTGAAATTAAGTTTTACATATTTAGAAACTAGTGGAAAGGATAATTAGAATGTCATTTTAAATGTTAAGATAGAAATGAAGATATTGCTTAGTTAGAAAATTACAGCTGGAATACTTAGTATGTGCTCAAATATAAAAAAGTTATTTAATTTTAAGATAAAAGCTTGCAAATATTTTACTTAGCTATAATGTAGAAAAATAGAAACTGGAATGTTTAATTATGAGGTAGTTAAAGAGATAGAAATTGATAATTAATTCTCTTGTATATAGGTCTTTTTATGTTTGTTTTTGTCTTTTTCTCTTTTAAACCAATAAAAATTTATTAGAAAAAAAAAGAATTCATAGTTAGGGTCTCAAATTCAGGCTTGGAGAAAAATGCCTTGTCCCTTTAATAGAGGCTTAATGTGGGGAAATGGACAGCTGAAGCTTTTCATGCCATGGATACCACACAGGTACAGGGCATTTTCTTCCAGGCCTGTTGGCAATTTAAGGGCCAGATCGGTGCTGTGGGCAGCTATACTCCTGCTCCCAAGACAGCAATTCTAAGAAGGTCTAATCAGAATCCTACTCAGGTCTATTCAATGGAGCTTAGTCAAAGGAAAGTGTTCTTAGAGCTTCTGCACTGCAAGTGTGGTAAGACTGGTAGGATCCAGATGTTTTTATTTAATTACTGCAAAATGCTTCTCTGATGTAAAGTGCTGTTTGTGCCCTGACCTGGATAGCCCAAGCAAGCCCGATCTCATCATATCTCAGAAGCTAAGCAGGTCTGACCCTGGCAAGTATTTGGATGGGAGACCACCAAGGAATACCAGGACCGGGAGGCAGAGGAAGGCTATCAAGCCACTTCTCTGAACATCCTCCATGCCCCAGTAGGAATAGCAAGAGGTCGCTGTGACTTCCAGGCACATGCACACAGTCACACCCACACAAAAATACCCAAAAAAGTGCTGTTTGTAAATAAGAGATATCAAAGAACTTTGTGGAAGAGATAAAAATTACTAGGAAATTAAGACGAACCACAAGTTTTGGCTGAATGCCGGTACAAGGCAATGCAGAATGAAGTACTGATAGAGATGTTACAATGCATGTGCTGAACATCCAAGGTTACACATGCAAGGTTACTCATGCTTGGTTAAATTCATTGAAGAATGGTCATGTACTTTGAATGTTTTTTCATTTTCAACTTGCAATGTGCTTGGTGTTGCAATTTGTATGATTTACTTAAATATTCTTGTTAATTGAATTACATTTATGACTTTCCTGTGATACACTGTCTTTTTTTGTTTTGCGCTTCATTAATTTAGTCTTAAGAACATAAGAGAAGCCAATGTTGGACCAGGCCAATGGCCCATCCAGTCCAACACTCTGTCACACAGTGGCCAAAAATACCAGGTACCATCAGGAGGCCCACCAGTGGGGTCAGGACACTAGAAGCCCTCCCACCAAGAATACAGTGCATCACTTGCTCCAGATTGAGAGTTCCTATCTATACCTTGTGGCTAATAGCCACTGATAGACCTCTGCTTCATATGTTTATCCAATTCCCTCTTGAAGCTGTCCATGCTTATAGCCACCATCATCTCCTGTGGCAGTGAATTCCATGTGTTAATCACTCTTTAGGTGAAGAAGTACTTCCTTTTATCTGATCTAACCCGACTGCTCAGCACTTTCATTGAGTGCCCACGAGTTCTTGTACTGTGAGAAAGGGAGAAAAGTACTTCTTTCTCTACCTTTCTCTAGTCTTAGCAAGAAATGTACTTTAAAAGAGCAGTACCAAATAACCTGAGAAGGCGTGACCCTTATGACCAGCTCTAATGAGCACAGTGACCCTATAACTAGTTCTGCACTTTCGAGGGGCTCTGGACCTGTGCTTCTTGTAGAGCAACCAATTGCATAACATGCCAAACCATACCTGAAACTGACAAGAGATCCCAAAGTAGCTTGTGGTGTACTAGGGGAGTGTGCTGTTCAGTGGAAAATTGTCCAGATTACCCCTGGACACAAAGAATGCCCAGAGTCAGTCTGAAATATTTATTGCTGTCATGGAAGATAGGATTTTTGTAAAATGTTTCTAAAAACCATTTCAAGATGACTTTTTATCCTGGACCAAGAATGAAAAAGCTCCTAGTTCCACAAGAGGATGTACAAATACAGTACTGCCCTGTGGCTTTATTTTTAATTAAAGACACTTCAAAGGGAAACCAGTCTGCACTAGAAAATGTGTACACATAATATATTGGGGGAAAGGCAGCTGCACTATGCTTTTATGAACATCACTATAAAAACAGGAATAAGTGGCTTGTGAGAGGCATGAAGAAAGTAAAACGTAATACACACAGTTTATAATGCTTTGAAAGAAAATCAAAGTAACGCAATTGCTTTGCACATGCAGACACTTACCATTCATGTACTTAGTAGCTGAGTACATACAAATGTCTGCTCCCAAAGACAAGGGACGCTGAAACAGAAACACAGCAAATAGATGAAACCAGATAGAAAACAATGTTATTTTTCTGTTGAAAGAATCAGTAGGAACTATACATTGGGTACTGAGGTATATTTAGCACAATTGAGAGCCTCTATGGGGTAGTGTTTAGGAAAGCTGAACTGGACCACAGAGATCTGGGTTCAGATCTATTCTGTTTAGCCATGGTGTTCACTGGGTGACTTTAGACTAGTCAGTCTCGCTCTCAGCCTAACCTACCCCACTGGGTTGCTGTAAAGATAAAGAGGAAGACAAAAACTCCAGAACCTGCAGTACAAGTTCCCTAAGTAGAAGGCTTACAAATTTCCTAAATACATAAAATAATTTGACAAATTATATTTGAAAGTAGAGTACCACCAAAATTTCTGTTACAAAGGAATTTAAGCCATCATCCCAGTGAAAGCATCAGTGAGCCTCATTTCCACTTTCTCAGCACTGCTGTCTTGTGAGAATGAGAAGCAAGAGCTCTTGCTTGAAAACTTTGAGGAATAAGAAACTGCCAAGGAAAGGACAGCCATAAAACAAGGAGAGGAGACAAAAAACTTGGAGACGGAACTGAATTCTAATCCCACTAAGAAGGAGGAGGGTTGGTTTTTATACCCAGCTTTTCATTACCTGAAGGAGTCTCAAAGCAGCTTACAATCACTTTCATTTCCTCTCCCCACAACAGACACCCTGTGAGGTAAGTGGAGCAAAGAGAGCTCTGAGAGAACTGCTCTTGCGAGAACAGCTCTGAGAGAACTGGCTGACCCAAGGTCACCCAGCTGGCTGCATGTGGAGGAGTGGGTAATCAAACCCAGTTCTCCAGCTTAGAGTCCACCACTACACTAAAGTGGCTAAGAAACCTGCAGAATTCCAGCTCAGCCCTCCAACTGCTGACTTCACATCTGGGTTCAGCCCAAGGTTGTTCTCTCAGGAATAAGCAAGTTTCAACAGCGTAGCAGATGAACTCTGGTCCTTCCAGTCCAAGTCTAAATCCTCACTCAGTGTTAAAACTTGCTAAATGGCTTTAGGCAAGCCATTATTTGTGCCTTTGCTTCCTCACCTGTTTGCAATGAGGATAAAGTGGGACATCTCTGAGTATGCTGCCCAGAGCCCTTTGAAGGAAGGGTGGAATGTAAACGTGATCAAGAGAGCGAGCAAGCTGATGTCACATTTGTGTGACCATATATTTGCTGGTGAAAGAGCCTGTAAGGATGGCAGGAAAATCCTCTTCACGGCCCTAATCTAGAAAAGGCATCAGGACTGTTCTTGGACCTACATACCAGGCAGTCCTGTTTGCTTGGAATTATCTAGTTCTGTCAAAAAAAAAGAGCAGAAACAGAGAGCTGCTGCCTTTCCATCTTTGCTTCTGCATTTTCCTGGTAGTGTGCATGATGCGGCATGACATCATTGGCTTTTCTCCAGCCAACTAGCAAGAACTTATCTGAGGCATGGATAGAGAAACTTACAATTCATATATTCCATATTACAGGGGAGAGGGGGAAACAAATAAGGAGTGCCACTGACATCATGTTTTTCGTAACAAACAATTCCAACCTTCCCTGGATGCTTAAAACCCAACCGTCATACATGGGATAAGGAAGAACGTTTTCTTCAGGAAAAACTGCGACTGAAATCTTGGGGTTTCCTTACATGTACATGGGGAATGTAGTATAATCTGCTTCATTCAACATTCGTTTTTGTCTTTCTTTTTTCTTTTTAAAAGTATTATTTCGCTAGAAATAGGGAAATTATGTTATGGAAAATATTCTGCTCTCTGCTTGAAGCGCCTGGCACTTTGAATCATCAGACACTATTATATTGGCTAATCTACTAGGAATGTTTGGTCGTGGAGGATTAGAGTAGGAGAATGGACTGGACTAGAGGCCCACGTCATCTTCAGGCTTCTAATTCCACCAAATAAAGTCCTTCCATTTTACTGTCCTCCTCTTTTCCAAGGGCTGTCTCAGTGCAGCAGTATTATTAACCATGACTACTCTTCCTGTTTGCAGATCAGTTACTAAATTATTGATTCTGCCCCTTTAAACCTTGTACTTTGCTTCTTCTGCGTGGTACAAAGAATGGATGGAATTCTAGTTGCTCTTTAAATTAGAAAAAAGAGAAGTTTTTTAAAAACCCTCTCAAATTTTATTTCAACAAGCTAAGCCATACGAATACTTCTGTTTCTCATACTGGAGCCAGCAGGGCACAATAGAGTGCCGGCTGAACAGGGGTTTTTACAGTCACTCGCCTCTCTGGGTCTTTCCCAGGAACAGCTAGCAATCCTATAGTCCTTGTTCCCTGGCATCTTAGAACACAGTGTGTGCCAAGCCATGCATGCCTAATAGAGCTCCCTGAGCTTTTACATCTTGCAAGAGTATAGAAACTCTGTTGGGCATGAACAGGTTGCCACCCTGTTTCAAGATGTCAGGAAACAAGAAGAGAAAGAAAATTACAGCTGCGGGGAGCTGTGGGGCTGATGGGAAGGTAAGGGAGAAGCAAAGGACAGGTGGAAATGAGACAAGGGCAGCAGAGGTGAAGGAGACACAGTAACAATGTTGGTGGAGAATGTCACTTCTCAAAATCCAGGGCCTGAGGCTATAGCCTCAACTCTCCTAATCACAGAGCCAGACCTAGATCTGTTTGGAAGACACCAAATCACTTTTCCATACAGTTCACTGTGTGTGATGATCACTGTTTGTTAGCCTTGAATTCCCTGCTATAAAAAGGGGCATCATACTGTAGCAAAGATAGACATGATAGTTTGTGAAGTGCTCTGCAAGTCAAACTAGAATCCCCTGGGTGAGTAAGATTTAGGATTATGCTTGAAGCATACTGTATAAATGAGAGGCATCTGTTAGAAAGAGTCCCAAGGGTGTGCAGCTTTTGTCAACATACCAAGATCAAGCAACAAAAGTTCCCCAGAAGTTACTGTGATCTTGGAATAATAACCTCTCTCACACAGCCTGAATGCTACCGCAGAAGTAAACTCATTGAAACACTGTTCTGACATCTTGTTTTTAATCTCTGGAGCTGGGACAGCAATTTGGATTCTCCCAATTAAGGACCTGCCTGCTGGTGCAGAGAGTCTTAGGGCCGTCAGAGTGCTAAGTTCATTACTGATCAATACTAGCCAGATAACACTATAAAGTTAAGACGTTGCAGTGTAACTTCTCTCTCTGTGCAAGAGAAGAAAGAATATTAGTTAGGTTACTGCATATTCTTTATCTCCTCACCTTATGCCTTATACAGAAAAATGGGAAAGGCGACTGTGAAGAGAGGCTTCTCTCGACTTCCGGTACGGCGCGTTAGCGGGCGGGCGGGAGCAAGAGAAGCTCCGTCCCCGCACGAACCAATTTGCCTTGCTATGGCCCCCCTGCTTGACAGGGGGGCGAGACCAGCCCCCGGGTGTGCGGAGCTTGTGCAGGGGGCATTTTTATCTGCCCCCCCGCTCTCAGCAAGGCGGGGGGTGTCCAGATACAGCCCCGACGCCGAGGCAAATTTATACGGAGAAACATGGCTGCCAGCCATGCTTCAAACGCGACCATCCGCTTTCGTTTTTAATATGGACTTGTGCAAAATTGGATAAAAGTTAGAGTTACAACACGGAGGAAAACACGGCTGGAGAGAGACCAGGACTTAGAAGAGGAGGAGAGAGCGAAGATGAGACCCCAGTTAAAAGACGGTCCAAATGGGTAAAGTAAAGCGGCCGAGATTTAATGGGACTATTTGACAAACCAAAAAATACATCGGGGGAGAGAAAAAGAGGCGTCTATGGATGGGCTTAGTAATTGACATGGGCAGAGGGAGGATATTTGAAATTGGAACCTAAAAGAGCTGCTTTTAATGGTTTGAAATGGAGAACATAACGCATAATGGAGAGGAACTTGATAACGATATGGAAAAGGTGGAGATGGACTGGGAGCAATTCCTTAAAGCTATTAAAGAGACTGTTGAAGAGACTGTTAAAACGGCAGTGAAACGAGAATGTGAAAATGCTTTTGCACAAATAAGAAAGGAACATAACACACAGACATACATACGTGAGTGGTGCACAGGGGAGGAAAAAGCAAAAGAAGTAGAGAAAGACCAACCAAAAAATAGTGAAAGTAGTAAAGCAGAACAACGGAGTGAAGGTGTAAAGCATAAAACCCTTCAAAGGGAGACAATAAACTATATGGAAAATCCTTATGAGCTTAAACCGGAAATAGTTAAAGAGCATGGGACTATGGTGGAAAATGGCTGTGACTTTAAATTTGGAGGACTAATGGAGCATAGACAAGATCATAACTCTGCACAGGAGGAGAAAAAAAGAAGATTTAAAAGAAGAAAACGGAGGGCATGGAAATTTAAAAGGAAAACTAGATTTTGGACTGAAGAAGAAAGGATAGCTGAAAGGAAAAAAAATGGAAGGCAGAGACTGTTTAAAGGGTATAGGCATAAGGACATGCTGAGACAGAAAAGTAGATTACAAATGTTTAAAAGATGCAATAAGATATATGGGGGAGAGAGTCAGGCTGTGATTATAAGACTAAATGGGAAACTGACCATACTTACTGACTAATGAAATATTATATGTACAATTGTGTTTTTTTTCTCTCTAGAAGTAATGAATAATAGGTGGAGTTTAGGAGGTATGTAGATAATGAGGAAAGGATAAATGTGCTTTTCTTTCTAGGAGGTCACTAGGAGGTATATAGATAATGGGGCAAAGTAGGAAGGATGGATGATTGAGTAAGGGAACAAATATATTGGGGTATGGTTAAAATAAATCAATTATTGGACTGTTAGAATGATGATGAGCAGTAAAGTTATTAATTTACTAAATTAGGTTACCAAGGGAAGGATTACAATGATTAGAAACCTTTTTTAAAGATTAAAATTATAAAATAGAAATATTTAAAACTTAAAATTAATTAAATTCAAATGAAATGTATTTTAGAATAATGATATGATAAATTATGATAAATAAGGGGGGAAAGCTTGAGTCTGAATGAAATGTTGGGTTATTTATGGGTTAACTAGGAGAAAAAACTGAATCAATGTATTTAATGTATTTAATGTAGTTATTTACGTATATAAATGTTTTGGTGGGTAGAGGGTAACTATAAGAACTGAATAGATGGGGTGAATATATCTGTGATCTGCTGGTTGGAATTTATCTTTGGCAATAATGGCTAGATGGATGATGTTTATGCTTAAAAATTTATTGTGAATATAAGGGTCGGTTATGTCAGAAGTAGCCTGAATTAATGAAGGCCTTAGTAGAAAATGAGGGGAATACTATATTGTTCAAAAAATGGGGAAAGAGGAAATTCTATATATATATATAGAAAATAAATGAATAATAATAATAATAAAAAATAAATAAAAAAGAGCTTAAAAATTATGTACAAAATTATAAAAGTAAGCCCAAATATGGAATACAGAAAGTGCCTTATGAGGTAGGAGACGGTATACGTAGAATCATCATGAATATTTATAATAATTACAATACAGAAAAGAACTTGGGATTCCAGAAAGATCTGATGGTCCAAAATGTGGAAATATAATGAAAGGGAAAAGGGAAGATGTTCAGGAAAGCTATGTTATGTTACTCTGTGTTGTTAGGAAAATCATGTGATGTACAAGAAATTTATTTCTATGAAATCTGTGTAATTCCATATGTTACTGGCTTTGAAAAACCCAATAAACAATTAAATCACAAAAGAAAAATGGGAAAGGCTAGTAATGCTAGACCACATCTTCACATGTGGGTCATCTGAAGAAATGCTGTTTAGTTGGTTGGGATGGTAATATTGGTCTACTAACTAGTCTACTAAGAAAAATATATTCAGGTGAGTAGCTGTGTTGGTCTGAAGCAGTAGAACAAAGTTTGAGTCCAGTGGCACCTTTAAGCCCAACAAAGAAAATTATGTTTCTGCGCAGATCAATCTCAATACTATAGAGATGAGGGCAGCAAGGATTTCCCCATTGTCAGTAATAAACAGTCTACACAAACAGGAAGGAAGAGGTCCACTCCACCCTTACTAACTTTCCTACCAACTCAGTGAAAGGTAGGTGAGTAATAATTTACATCCATGCCAGCACACAAGCACTTATGGTGGCATACATCAACAACTATGACAAGGCAGCCTTGCAAAATATGCTGTAAACCTGCAAGTACAATCCATAGCACCACTGGATTCCTTCACACTCTCTCAGTGCAGAAAGATACTGCAGTAGGGGATAGTGAATAATGATGCATAAATACTTTGTACTACCTAAGTAAAACATTCAAAATGCCTCTCATACACAATCCTGGTAATCTTTCAATAACCCTGTAAAGGTAAAAATTTAAGGCTGTGCAGTCGATTCATGACAGAGCTGAGATTTGACTTTCCACCTCTCAAAGCATGCCCTTCATGACTGTACTACATCATAGGAAAAAACTGCATCCAGACATGCAAAGAATACACTGTAGAACAGATAATCAAGGCTATCAACCCTGATTATCATCAATCACCTGCATTGGGGATGAATTAAAGTTGGAAGTAGGGGAAAGGATGGCCTCAGTTAGAGAGGGCAGAGGGTGGATCATCTGCTCAGCAAGAGGAGGGGAGAGTTCCTCGTGAACAACAGCCTTCTTGTTATTCCCATGCTGGCAGTTCAAAAGTTTAGGAACATGGTGCTAGTTTGCTGCAGGAAAGGTGAAATAGGATATCCAACCTACACACTCTAGGAAAGGTGAAACAGAATATCCACCACAATGTGATTTCTTGTCACATGTTTAATGGCTTTTCATGCCAGAAACCTTTGCATGCCAAGAATGTCAAGCTGGCTCAATTTCACGACATATGAAAATACACTTAAAATTATGTCTGCACTGATAAAATCCCAACCAGCCATCCAGCATTCAGCACCCCAGCCAGTAGATTTAAACAGAACAAGAGATCAAACCCAGAGTTGTTCCTTGCTGATGTATTCCTGCAATGACCTTTATGAAAAACAAACAAACAAACAAAACAAGCAGTGCCTGGGGCATTTTTAGTATAGCAATCAGCTTACCTGGAAATATGCAGACATAAAAGTATTGTCAACTGCTAAAAGGACGCCTTTATGCTTATGGACAACATCTGCACATCCTTGAATATCAATCACTTTCATCGTTGGATTTGTGGGAGTTTCAATCCAGACAAGCTGTTAATTGGAGAGGGTAAGTTGTTAAGAAAGATAATAAAATGAACAGTTACAGAATTTGTATATTCTAGATCTCTTCCTTACTTTTGCACATATACACACATGCATTGGGGGCAGTATTTTTGCATTTGTGTGTGTGTGCGCCCATGCCTGGAAGTCATGGTGACCCCTAGTGGGGCACAGAGGACGTTCAGAGAAGTGGCGTGATGGCTTGCCTCTGGCCTCCCAGCCCTGGTATTTTCTGGAGATCTCCCATCCAAATACTTGCCAGGGTCAGCCTTGCTTAGCTTCCGAGACATGACAAGAGCGGGCTTGCTTGGGCTATCCACGTCAGGGACACATGCATCCTTCATGGTTATATCTCTGAACAGATTTTCCTATTATAGCAAATTCCTTATCACAAGCACTCTCACAGAAATAAGATTTCTCCTGTGTTACAAAATATTTCAACTTTGCCTATATAGTTCAATTTTTGGGGGGAAGGCTTGTAGATGATTGGTCTTGCTATTTGGATAGATTGCAGGTGGTCATAGAAGATGGCTGTCTGGTCCCTTCAAATTTTAGGATTCTATGAATGGCACATTAGTCTTTTCAGAAACAAGGATAAATGGTATTTATAGTAGAACACTATGTTTCAGTGAACCTTTGAGGTAGTTACACCTTTTCATACACATAGATAACACAGCTGCATCCTCCTGTTCAGCTCTCTCACTTGCTACTATAGGATAGACCTCTATGCTGAGTGGGTGAGAGGTGAGAGAACCTTGACAGGACTTTACCAATGAGAGAGGTCCTCAAGGCTTTATGAAAAAGATCAGGCAGGAGGTGAACTGGCTCCAGCCTATTCCATTCAAGCAGTCTCCTAGTGAGTTCACTAGCCTCAAGCTTCCTAGGCTGTTCTAGCAAACACTTCTGCGTAAACAGAACTGCCAAATTGGCACATGCTGCCTCTAACACTACTGTAAAGATCAGAAGACACCACCACACACTCTTATATATTGTGGGAAATAACAGACATCACTCTGATATCCTTTGACAGTGAGTCTGTAATTAGGGCTCGTCAACTTGGAGAAATGACGACTGAGGGGTGACCTGATAGAGGTTTACAAGATCATGCATGGGATAGAGCAGGTAGAGAAAGAAGTACTTTTCTCCCTTTCTCACAATACAAGAACTCATGGGCACTCAATGAAATTGCTGAGCAGTCGGGTTAGAACAGATAAAAGGAAGTACTTCTTCACCCAAAGAGTGATTAACACATGGAATTCACTGCCACGGGAGGTGGTGGCAGCTACAAGCATGGACAGCTTCAAGAGGGAATTGGATAAACATATGGAGCAGAGGTCCATCAGTGGCTATTAGCCACAAGGTATAGATAGGAACTCTCAGTCTGGGGCAAGTTATGCTCTGTATTCTTGGTACTTGGGGGGGGGGAGAACAGTGTGAGTGCTTCTAGTGTCCTGGCCCCACTGGTGGACCTCCTGATGGCACCTGGACTTTTTGGCCACTGTGTGACAGAGTGTTGGATTGGATGGGCCACTGGCCTGATCCAACATTGGCTTCTCTTATATTCTTATGATGCCCATCAGGGACAAGAAAAGCCCCTTTGGGGAAGAGGGACCATCAAAGCAACTCTCAGAACAGGCACAGCAACACAGACCCTTAGTGAGCTTGCAGCCCCATAGTGCACCAGGCTCGAAAGAAAAGGAGATGGAAACACAGGCAAGATGCAATCTGCACAATAAACAGAAGTGGGCCTGGCTAGTGGGGAGGTGCATGGAGACCTGAAGAACAACTGATGTGGCATGCTCCAACAAAATGGTGACAAGTTCCATCCATTAAGGCCTTTATGTTACTGAAAGTTCTTCCTTCTCCTCTCAGAAAATCTTGCAGGTACATTGGGGAAGCCTCCCTCTTAAGAAGCTATCAGGCATTGTTTTAGTGGACATTTTTATGGATCCATACAAGAATAATCTCTGCTACCTTAAGGAACTGGGCTGGCAGTGAACAGTATTCAAAGCAGCCTGCTCAACCTGTCCATCTTCCTTAAAACTTCTCAAGTTTCCCCACACATTTCAATCCTAATGTGTCCATACATTTCATTTATAACATATATGCTCACATTGACAAAAATTTGGTAACCATTCGCCAAAGAAGGCAGTGACTACAGCTGTATCGTACAGTCTTGCTTATTTCTTATACCAACTCCAGCCCAGCCAATAAAGATATGTGCCCTATATCACTTTAATATCTTTCTCTCAGCAGTCATGGTCAAACCAAATAATTCCCATACCCTCATGCAATAAACTGGGTTTCCAAAAAGAACGAAATATTACTCCAAGCATACTGCAAACATTGCTTTACAAGCATTTCTTTGTCACATTAGCAGTAGAAAGGAGCAAGAGTCCAATAGCACCTTAAAGACTAACAAAATTTGAGGGAAGTTACCCTCCCACAAATTTTGTTAGTCTTTAAAGTGCTATTGGACTCTTGGCTCTTTTCTGTTGCTACAAACCGACTAACACAGCTATCCATCTTGATTTGTCACCTTAGTCTCTGGTGTGATTGCAGCTTCAAGGCATTCCAATTTGGTACAATCAACAAAAATCGCCTTCAGACCCAACTCTGATGCTATCGTCCGGAAATATCTATTGGTACCTAAGGGTAGGAAGAAATATATGTATGATTTGCTAACTTATTTCATTATGAGAAAAACTGAGAACATAACATTACAGATATGGTTTGATCTATTTGGAGATAAAAATGATTTTTTTTTTATTTGGGATGTGGAAGGTATGCAGTTTAACATTTGCATCCTAAATAATATCGATAGAAAACCATGCTGGTTTTCCATGAATCTTATTTCCATGTAAGCAGTTCAGCAGCATTACAACCTGATCCTAAATATTTTATTTAAAAGGTCCCACTAGGACTTAATCTCTAGTAAGTATGCTTAGGAATACAACCCCACCTTTCCTTCCTTCCTTGTATGTTTAGTGAGCATTACATTAATATTCAGCACCAAACTTCTGATTTATCAAGGCCTTTAATGAGCAAGTAGTGGCGGGCAATCTTTTAACTGATTTTTGTAGTTTCAACTGATCGGACTGGAAACCCAACTGTTTTCATTGTTTTGCCCTCCATTTCTTACTACTGCTCTTTTAATTCTATGATGTGCCTTAAACTGATTTGTAAAAGACAGATAAAATGACAATTCCTGAAATTTCAGCCAACAACTATGAGATTCAAGTGGAAGCTTCTAACAGCTAATATTGATCCAATAAGTTAGTGCAAATTTCTCTATTTTCCATATTTAGGTTTCATCACACATTAACAGAATGCATATTTACATCCCAAGGTACTCCATATGCTTGAGAACTTTGAAGTGCCAGAGATTACCAAAATCATGTTACTATATTATAAAAAAGCCTCTCATGCTGGCAAACAAGGAGTCCAGCTTTCCTTCTCGTTTCTGACATGCCTTCCTTTTTCTAAAATTCTGTATTATTAAAACAGAAAAACCATACAGAAAAACCAAAGCAATGCAGAACTACAGAAGTCAGAAATAAAACGCCTGGCTGGATAACATATGCAGTTGATCAGTTTTACATGGCTTAAAGGATTCTAGCACTGCAGGAATAATGTCACTTTTGTACCACTTTAAAAACAGAGCAAAAATGTTGTTGGTGCTGCCAGTCCTCCACCTTTGGGGAAAACATGTTTTCCCTTCTCCTATTGCTATCTGAAAGCCTCAGTCAAATAGGGACACATAGCTAGACTATACCAGCTCTTGACTGGGGTAAGAGGATACCTGTGTTGCTAGAGTGCCCTTGGCTGCTGCCCCAGCAACTCTATGCACTAGCACCAGGATAGTCAACAGCACAGAGATCCCTGATAAGGAGCTCCAACCTTTTATCTTGTGAAACCATGCAAGAAAGCAACTACTATATAAAAGTATTAGCTGAAAAAGAAATAGTTCAGAATAGTACTCTCTTATTATGATGTGTTTAAACTACCTCTCAAGCTGCCTTAAGTCTTCATCCAGTGTTTTAAATGGAAACTTATCTGTTATTTAATTTATTTTAAACAGATAAAGGCATCTTAAGTGTAAATAAGCCACCTTCAGTAGCTGATGAATTATAATGTAAATGATAAGAATATTACTTGGGCTAGTCCAGTCCAGCAACTTCTAGGAGCAGCATAATAATGCACAGATTGATAAGCAGGCCATTGTGGCCAGATCTTTTGTTCGCCATAACTTAGTGACTTGATCCCACAGAGAATCTCTGCTGGATCCGACTGACTGGCATGGCATGTGGGGTATAGCAATCCTCCTTATGGATCAGTAGCTGGAAGATGGATTAAGGAGATTCAGGAGGTTGGGGGTACAAGAGCATCTGTGTCTTAAACTAGACGTTATAACAAAAGTCATAACATCAGGTCTGGCTTCCCTGTGCTTGTGTGGATATACTGCAGAAGTAGCTCTAAAATAGGGCAATTAATACCTCTGTGTGACCATTTCAGCTGAGGAAAAGGGCATCGGAGGGAGGCAGAAACTTCTAGCCCACACCACAGCCCCAAGCAGAGTTGGGGTCCTGAGGCCCTTTAAAAGGCAGTTCCCCAGCTCCTGACTGACTGCAGGGAACATGAGTCAGGTTGGGCCAACCTGGACATAACTTGTTAAAAGTCATAATGTCTACTTTAATCCTAAGGCATGCTACAACAAATGCATAATGCAAAAAAAAAAAAAGAAGTAAAGATAATAGAGCCAAGCAATTAAGATTTTCAAGAGTATTTGTTTAAAAAACCAAATATTGTAAATGTTACTTTATTTTAAAAAGTCCACGAATCTTACACACTTTTTCCAGAAAAGCTAATGCATTCTGTGTTTCTGTACATGTACAAATTAACTTGGAAAAGAGATCCGGTTTGTGCCTGATGCAAAAATAATGAAAGTTATTACTGTCTCTAGATTATTGCATCAGGGCTTTTGAAGGGTCCATGAATGTATGAGGTACACAAGCAATCGAAAAGGGACAAAGGGTGACAGTGAATTATCAGACTGTGGGCGGATTCACTTTGTTCACTGACTCTCAGCTTGATGTGTCTGTCCTGCCAGCGGGCCTCCCCCAGCTATCGTCAGTGGGCCTCCCATGACCCCACCTCCGCTGCCCACCACCCCAGCAACGCCAGACACCCCCCCCCGCAGGCCTTCCCCAATTACCCAGCGGCCCAGGAAGCCTCAAAGTGGGGCTGCCGAAGATGCCGGTGGCAAGGCAGCTTTGCTACAGCGCCTTGAGGGGCACCGACCAAACGCCGGCAGTTACAGGGAGGGAAGGGAGGCACCCCGAGCCGGAGACGGCTGGGCCCATGGTCCGGCGTGAGGACCCACCCCCACCTCAGAGCCCGATGGCCCACGCCAGGCAGGGAGAGGCATCACCACACCCAACAGCAAGAGATGCCGGAAAGCAGAACCTCTCCTGAGGCTTGGTGTCTTCCTTTAAGGAGGTAGGCGAGGCTAGGACAAGGAGGACAGGGTCCTGAGGAGGAGCCTGGGAGCAGAGAGGGATAAAAGGAGGGCAATACACAGGGGCCAGGGAGGACTGCCTGAGTCAGTTTTGCCATCCCCCAGAGAGGAAGGCTAGCGACACAGAGGGAGTGAGGGTGGTGACGGAATCCCCCTCCCTGCTCATGCAGCTGAGGCCCCTGCTGCCCTTGGGAATGCACCACCAACATGGCAGGGCTCCTGCAGAATTCTGACTCAAGTGACAGCGAGGGGGGGTCCACGGACTCAAGTGACAGTCTCAAATGCCTCCTTTACTGAGTCAATCCATGTCACGTTGGGTCTTCCACTTTTCCTGCTGCCTTCAGCTTTTCCCAGCATTATTGTCTTTTCCAGTGCGTCTTGTCTTCTCATGGTGTGACTAAAGTACGATAGCCTTAATCATTTTCGCTTCTAAGGAGAGTTCAGGCTTGATTTGATCTAGAACCCATTTATTTCTCTTCTTGGTGGTCCATGGTATCCACAACACTCCTCCAACACAACAATTCAAATGAATTGTAGTTACTAGTAGCCTATTAGAAGCACTTTGAGCTTGCCTGCACACTATCCAAGTAAAGATCCCTAAATCACATGTTCTGCTTCCCCTAACTGGCGAGTGAGTCAGTTTTCCAAGCTAGCCAGGTCATGAAAGTGGGAATAGATTTCCCCTGACAATGAATTTAAATCCCCCAAATTGGTTATGGTTCTGGAAGAGTGTCCTAAGCCCAACTTGGAGTCGACCCATGTCTAAGAATACACATGAAGGTGAGTACCTGATGCAGCACCCCTCTAGCACAATCAAGATCTACCAAATGCAGGTACGTGGCTCACCTCCATAGACATCATCTGTGCATATAATAGTATCTCCTGCTTTTAGCAGATGTACAATATTCAGTGTAGCTGCTAACCCAGAAGCATACGCTAAACCTGAAAGAAAATAAAGAAATCTTAAATTAATATTTTATGTAAAATAAATAATTGCCCTTTGTTTACAGCATGTACCATCAGTGTTCAAAGACTCAGGTTCTGCTACATTTATTTATTTTCAAATGATAACTAGCTTTGCAGATTTTCTAGATCAAGTTTATGTTTCCATAACAGATAAAAGAACAAACAGGAAACAGAGAGACATTAGCAGAAGCACAGCATTAGACCAGCTTTAACCATATCTCTTCTTATATATAATTGTGTTTTGGTCATGGACTCTCCTGAACGTTCCACATGCTCACTCAGTCTTTGGCTCTCTGTTCTGTCATTCAGAGAGTGTCCCTAGCCACTGGCTGCATTGCCTGAGTCCCGCCCAGCTGCCACTCAAGAGTACTCGCATGCCATTGGCTGGGGGCTGGGTTTGCTCCTCTTCCCCGCCCACTGCTTCAGCCACTGTGCCCTGTCAGATGGCTTTTTCTCTTGATGAAGAGACTTTCCTCCTGTGTGGGACTAATCTTTCCCTCAGTAGCTGTTGGTAGGTGTAACGAAATGGCAGTTACCTGTGTCTGTAAGATGGCTGCCGTCTGTGTGTTTAAAATGTTTCCCCATAAGGCTGAATTGAGCTGTAGTTCCACAGAGAGGCCTGCAAGGGTATCATTCACTGGGTTGAATGGGGCTTCCTCATCTGCTGGCCTACAGTTCCCCAAGGCCAAAAAGTGCGGGAAAACAGCAACTGTCCCAAGGGGCGAGGCAGCATCAATATAGACTCCAGCCCATTCAGAGAGGAGGCAGTTTTCGTCCCACAGGAGATTAGGAAAGGCTCCTGCTACCTGTGCTGAACAGCCTGTCCAGGCCACACCAGAGATGTGGGGACACCCTGGGAGGCAGCAGAAATTCAGCCATAATTGTGTAAATAGTTAAATAAATTCTTTTATTTGGGCTAATAATCTGTGTTGTGCTCTAACCACATAGTCTCCCCCACTCTGCACAATACCAAAGGGAAGGTGTAGCCCAGGGAAGCAAGGAAAGGCCAGATTGCTTGGGTTGCCAAGTTTCTAGGGATCCCCCAAAGATTGGGGATTCCATCTCCAAATAGGGAGATTCGGCCAGAGGGGCCTCACTGTCTCTCTAAAAAGGCAGTGACAATTCAGTGAGTGGTGGCAGTGAACTTAAGGAGTGAGATACGCCCACAGGATGAGGGTGGGAGGCAAACAGCTGAGTTGTAAACTGGAGCCCATTTCGACACAGTAGGCAACCAAGCTTGGTTCAGACAAAGGAAGGAATCCCTTTGCAGGCCTTTGTGAGGAACTCATTGGGGCCAGGCCTGACTAGGGTTGCCATCTCCAGGCAGGGAGATTCCTGGAGATTTTCTGGGAGAGTCTATGGAAGCCAGGGTTTGGGGAGGAGAGAGGCCTCAGCTGAACAGAATGCCATAAAGCCCACCTTCCAAAGCAGTTATTTTCGCCGGGGGAGGGGAAGAAACCTATTGTCTGGAGTTCAGTTGTGATACCTGGTGATCTTCAGGCTCCACCTGGAGGTTGGCTGCCCTAGGCATAGCAGTCAGTGCTTCAGGACAAGGGTCTGCTAGATCCAGGTTCTTGCTATAGAAGCTGAGTGGGTGATTTTGGGCCAGTCACAGACTTTCAGCGTAACCTACCTCACAGGGTTGTTGTGCAAGTCAAAAGGGGGAGAGGAGAATGATGTAAGCTGCTTTGTCCCCATTGCAGAGAAAGACTACTTTTCCTTCTGGGAAACCATTGTTGCAAATCTCCAGGTGAGGGCTGGAAATCACTCAGAATTACAAATGCTCTCCAGATGGCAGAGATCAGTTCCCCTGGAGAACATGGTGGACTCTGTGTCCTTATACCCTGCTGAGATAACCCCCCATGACAGCCAATGTGATGTGGAAGTCAAGGTTTCAGAGCACCGTGGAGGCTGCAGATGGAGGGGGGAAGATGGAAAACTGAAGAGTGAGGGGGGAATAAAGGTAGGTTGATGCCTGGCTGAGGAGATAGTTGCCAACTCCAGGTGGGAAATTCCTGGAGATTTGAGGGATGGAACCTGGAGAGGGTGAGGTTTGAGGAGGGGTGGGACCTCAGACAGGTACAATACAATAGACTCCACCCTCCAAATCAGCCATTCCCTCCTGGGTAACAATTGTTGCCAATCTCCGGGTGAGGGGTGGAGATCACTCAGAATTACAACTGATCTCCAGGAGGGGGGAGGAGATGGAAAGCTGAAATCAGGGGCAGATAATGGCAGGTTGATGCTTGGCTGGGAAGGAGATAGGGTTGCCAACTCCAGGTTTGAAAATTCCTGGAGATTTGAGAGGTGGAGCCTGGAGAGGGTGAGGTTTGAGGAGGGGTAGGACCTCAGACAGGTACAATGTCATAGACTCCACCCTCCCAACCAGCCATTTCCTCCCGGGGAACCATTGTTGCCAATGTCCAATCCTGCGTCCTGTTTGCTGCGCCGCAGGGAGGGGGGAGAGTGAGGGCAACCATGGCAGCCCTGCTGGGAGGAGGGGGCAGGCTAGCAGCAAGCTGAGGCCCACCCAACCCAACACCAGCACCATCAGAAGGTCCAGGGGTGCCCAGGTCACTATTTAGAACACCGTGCCATCCCCACTTACTATCTTTCAGCGTTGGATGGTTATTCACATTTGAGCAAAAGCAATTGCAAGCATCTATCTCATGACAAAGAGACTGATGTTTCCGGTTCATAACAAAAGAACCAAAAACAAAACCGAAAACAAAACCCACAGCCCTCTCTTTTGTTTTTGGTGGGAGGGACAGCCCATCAGGTTGAACAAAACTGTTAAAAGCATAGTACCAAAATTATTCAGTGCTACTGCTTCTCTTCCAAGACACTCCTGTTCCAAACTGCCACTACCCCACAACATATAAAATCATTATTTCTCATATTAAAAATGTTAATAGCTTACAATACTTTGCACCATCCAGTGCTGCCACGGCCTTTTCCAAGCAATCTCGAGTAGGATTTCCACAACGGCTGTACTCAAAACCCTAGGAGAGACAGAAAAATTCAGTAGTTGATGGAATGCTTGTGGAAGAGATGAAATATTAACAGGGATGACATCTACTCTCCCATGGTTCTCCTATACAAAAATCTGCTAATGAGCATAGACACCTAAAAACCTATTCTCATTTTCCTTTGTAAAAGGAAAGGAAATACTTCACCATTATGGAGAAAAGTTGGGAAGATGTCTTCCTTTTATTTTTCTATATCATCACCTTCCTTACACAAGTATTCTGTGTTACATATGAAAACCTAAATCATGATCTGATGAAACTGAAAATGTTTTAAGTCGACAGAGTGACTACTCCCTTGGTCTGGGAGTCAGTGGTTTTTTAAAAAAACGGGGTAGCGTCATAGTAGAGTGGGAGAGCCTCAGCTCTGCATGTAGAAGGTCCAAGGTTCAATCCCTAGCATCTCCAGTTAAAAAAAGCAAGCAGTAGGTAATGTTAAAGAACTCCAGCTGATACGCTGGAGAGCCACTGCCAGTCAAAAGCAGACAGCATTGACCTTCACAGACCAGTGACCTGACTCAGCATAAGGCAGCTTCAAGTGTGTGGGTGTTTTAAGCATTCAGGATGGGACCAATTTTGCACAGTAAATCAATGCTATGCAAATGCCAGGGTATATAGTGTTGCCTGATGATTACAAACACATACACAACACGAACACAAAAATAATTTGTTTTGTCTAGACATGCATTTGCATGCCAGGACCGGGCAACTAGACTAAATTCAAAGCATAGAGGAGGAGCTTTCTCTTTTCTGCGTTCTTCAAGAAAAAGTTCTGTCCAGGCTTATAACCAGACTTTAAAGTCTGACAATAAATACGACCTTCAGAAGACCTGCATTCTTCCTGTTTCAGGAACTTAAAACATTAGTAGAGCAACTCCAATAGTGGGCTAAAAAGGGCCCACAGACACACAGAAAATAATTCCCATGCAGTACAAAACACAGGCAGAAAACACTTGAAGGGGAAAAGGATGCAGAAAAGACACCGCGGTATAAAGCAAAGGTCAAGGCTGAATCACCTGTTCTCATAAGGCAAGCCTTATGGCTCAGGGGCGTCAGGGGAAGAACTATCACTACAGCCTTGGACTTTGCTTTTTAGTCTGCCACATGAACTGCTGGATTGCTCAGCTTGAGGCAACTTGTCAGAAATTGGGAGTCATATGATGCATGCCTGCTGCAGAAAACTCTGAGAGTTCAGGAAGGGATAAATACAGGTATGGTTTAGGAGAGAACCTCCTGAAGGAACGAGAAGTCCAGTTTTACATAGGAACAATACCATGGCACTGGTGGATATGACATTCTAAGGGGGCTGCCCCCATACTCTGAATGCCAGGGAGTCCATGTGTTTGGTAGAAGGAGTACTCACTGATTAGGACCTCCTGGGGAGCCCACAGGCAAACCATCACAAAGAGCTCAAGGGACCAGTAGGTATGATAAGAGACCCAATAAGAGGCCAAAACTTCACAAAGAGAACATAATCTAATGTTTGCCCATGTGGACAGAAAAATATACTGGTAAAAGTACCACAAGTCATCATCAGCAGAAAGATCACATTGTTCTCAATGCAAAGTGACTAGTTCTTTTGTCAGACTGCACAACGACAAGGTGTAGGCTCCTGGTTATCCCATAATCCCAGCAAGGAAATGCTCTAAAGTTGGTGTTAAGTTTATTTAATTACCCTGATGTTCTTAGTCTTCTCCAATGGACTATATACTTTACAAATTTCACATCTCTCATTTTACTTGGCAAAGTACCTGCATGCAGACAGCCAAGTGCTACCAAGAACCACATGCAGCAGCAACCACTTCCTTTAATGTTTTAGCACAACCAAAGAGGCAAGCTGCTTTGAACTGAACTGGTGGACTGCTTCTTCGGCAACACGACTGGCTATAGTAAAAACTTTTTTAAAAATCTGTCTACCTGAACAGCCCTTATTCATGCAGTTGTACTCCTGGTTTAGAATATATTATTTATATTTCTGGTTATATCAACGGGAATCAATTTGGGCTGTGCCTTGGGAGAAGGAACATGGCTTACACTAGAACAGACTGTCCTGTGCAGAAATGTCTTGGAAGAATGCTTGTTTCCTGGGTTTGTACTTCAATTGCTCCTGCCTGGCTTAATGGTTATGAGATAACTAGTAAACCATTAGAAATTCCTATTAAACTTTAATAAGTCAATTAGGTTTCACAGCTTTTAAAACACAGGTGCTCTTTGATTTCAACCTTAACTAATAAACAAATAATACCATAGTTTGGAAAGCTGCCCACTTGCTTATGCAATTTCTGTACAGTGTGGTATCATCAAAAGGACTAGGTACGTGACAAAGCAGGTTTGTTTTGTGCAGTCCATTGAAATCTGCAGAGTTCAAGTGAGTCAGCCTTACTTTGTTACCTTTTGCCTCAGAGCTTTTCACCTTACTCAGAACTATGACAATAATCCAGAAATTCTCATTTGACTGAAAGCATTGGCATGATATATGTCATGACTAGGAGACTCAGTTTCCTGTTAATTTACACCCCACCCCACCCCACCCTCTAGGACCTCTTTGAAAGCAATTTCATTTGAGAGGTCTATATTACCACAAACAGCTTGTTTAGTGACTGTGGAGAATATTCCAGATACAACACATTCGGGTTGTTTCTCTGCATCGGTCACTATTATATTACTTTGCATGAGAGTAATAATTTGTAACTGGATTGTCTTGTTCACACAGGAAAATCCATCTGAAGATGATTGCTTCAGAGCAATGATAGAACAACAGCCAATGATGTGCAAGTACAGCCAAGATTCCCTAAGAGAACATATTCAAAATGGGAGGCTTTCAAAAATACATCTACTGCCTATTTTTCTTAGAACACTTACACTTTCTTTTCCCCATATAGTTGCCCACCAAGATCCACAATGGGAATTTTTCTACAAAACTGCCCATTTCCATTAAGAATACTAATATGGACTAGATACAATTGAGTAAAACTTGCACAAATTAAATTAGAATAAAATTCAACCACATGCAGGGTTAATGAAAGGTCTCCATAATCCCATTTTACTGAGACCTCATGCATGATGTCAACATGTCTGAAGTCAGACAGAAATGACAAAACATATTTTCAAGTATTTCAAAGAGGAAAAGCTTCTTCGGCATGGAGTTTCTCTAAAAATGAATCTAGGTAGGGTGTGTATTTTGAGGTTTGTCATTTCAAACCCAGATCCCCCCCCCCTTTCTGTGGCTTGAAAACCTATTCATTTTACTTTAATTACATATACATGATTGGTTGTTTTGGAAGTGGATAACCTCCCCATACTAATTCTCTTCTTAGTGAGTTTTCTTGAAAAGCAAGGGACACCTGCTTTCAAGTGTGCTACAGTTATTCAAACATTAACGTGTTCCAGGAAATTTCTCACTTCCTGATTTTGTAATACACAGTAATTGTTTCCTCCTAAAGACTTCCTAGGTTCCAAGCAGCTACAACTTTTGTGAACTTTATAATGTAAAATGATACGGGAAAATCAGCCAAAATAGGAGATGTCATCATATCACCTCTCCTGTTAAATAGGCAATATTCTCTTGCTAGACCTTAGTAATTCAATTTATGCTGTCTCTAAGAAACCTAAGATTTAGCCAATACAGGCTAATCAATTAGTGATCTAGTCATCACTAATAAGATTATACCAAAAGCAATGTTAACCCTGTGTATACTTACCTAGGAGAGTGTCCCACTGAATTATATCTTAGTAAACATACACAAGATCACACTACAGATCTGGTGCTATTTTGATTCTAGATTTTCCTCCAGTGTGATTAGAGATTAAAAGGTTATCATTAGGTCAAAAACAATATCTTTTATAATGTCACATTAATGTCAGTGTTGTGATTTCAGGAGATTTACAATTCTAAATAAAGCAAAAATGAAACGTCTATTCTCAAAAGACCCACTGGGCACTGTGTGTGCAGAAGCAGATTGAGGGAGGAGAAGAAATATGTAGATTGTACAGTGCAATAAAGGAAAGAGTTACATCAATGAATGAAGTGAGCGAAGGGTTAATGAAAGGAGGAATGCAATTAACAGGCTCAAGAGGAGGCAGGGCAGTGGCCGTGGGCACCTAACAGAGACACCAGTGAAGAGGTTGTGACTACCAAGGGAGGCAGTACTAGTGATGGAGAAGGCTTGAATGAGGACCTAGGCAGATAACAAAGAAAGGCTGGAGATCGGGGAGGACGCAGGAAGTATAAGCATTG